TTCGAAAACATGGCAGTACTGCACCGTTATAACGACCCCGTTCAATGTCGAGCGTTTTGACGACCCTGCGAGGACCAGCGCAGGATTGGTTTCACCAATTGCCCCCAGGAGCCATCAGGGACTTTGACGGATTTAGCTCGAGCTTCCTAAACCAATTCGCAAGTGTAAAAGCCCAAGAAAAGTCTTACCTTACTCTAATAGGTATGCAGCAGAAAGAAGGGGAATCATTGAGGGATTATGTGGCAAGATACACACGGGCATGCGTCGACGTCCCCTCGGCCACCGATTAAATCAAGTCAGGAGGGCTCACTCGAGGGCTGCTCCCAGGGCTATGCAGGAACTCCCTAGCAAAGCGACCCGGGAGGACGTTCGACGAGCTGTTAGGAAGATGCGCCAAATACATGAATGTGGAAGAAGCTGAAGCGGAGTTTCTGCAAGCGGCCAAGTCAAAAACTGAGTCTCGGGACGAGAAGAAGGATAAAAAGCCGGTCGCGACGACTGAAAGAAAGGGATCCCCAAGGTCTGAAAGAGAAGGACGATTAAGGGGATGGAGGACAGCCCAATATACTCCCCTGTTAGCTTCGAATGCAAGGATACTGGAGGTGATGGAGAAAGAGATCCGTGACAATGTTGTCAGGTGGCCACGGACGAGAAAGGATGGGCCAACAAAGCCTAAAAGCGATCTGTATTGTCGATTTCACAAAGACTACGGCCATAATACCGATGAATGTCGGCACCTAAAAAACGAGATTGAGAGACTAATCAAAGCAGGCCATCTGAAGGAATTCGTTTATAAAGATCGAGAACGAACCAGTCGGCGAGGGGAGAGAAGCAAAAGCCCTCACAAGAGGGCAAGAACACCCGATAAGGAGGAGTTTCCCCAGAAAAGAGGAATAATTCATATGATATTCGGAGGGCCAACCGATGGTGATTCAAATCGGGCTAGAAAAGCATATGCTCGAGGGCATCACGGAAAAACCGAAGTGCAACAGGTCGAGGAAAATGGTCCAGTGATGAATTTCGGGCCAGCAGACATGGGAGCGGTCGAGAGACCTCATAACGATGCCTTGATGATCACAGCTCAGATATCGGGCTACGAAGTCCAGAGAATCTTTGTCGACACAGGGAGCTCGGTGAATGTGATTTTTTTCGATTGCCTTAAATGGATGGAACTCGACATTGAACTCTCACCTCTCCACACTTCACTTTTTGGATTTAATGGCTCGGAAGTCGCACCCCTGGGGGAAACCACTCTCGCTGTTGTCCTCGGGGAAGGCGACTTAAGGAAGGTGAAAATGGTGCGATTTGTCGTGGTCGACGTCGAGTCGGCTTATAATGTGATTCTGGGAAGGCCAACACTCAACACATTCCAAGCAGTAGTGTCAACCTATCATATGAAGCTAAAGTTCCCCGTCGGGGATAAGGTAGGGGAGGCCCGAGGGGACCATAGGCTGTCAAGAACCTGTTATCAGATTGCAGTAAGGACAAACCAACGAACGGAGGTGAAAGAAGGAAAAAAGTCGGTGTCAAATGAAAAAAGACGAAGGGAAAGTGATCTTGAGCCACATGGGGAATTAATGGAAATTTAAATCGGGGAGAGAGAGGAGCAGACTACAAAAATAGGGCGAGAACTGGAAGAAGAG